AGGTGCTCAGCCACCCTGATGCCAAGTGCCTGGTCTTTGAGATCCTTCGCCAGCCACACCAGTTGATCAGGTTGTGCTGGAAAATGCATTGTATTAATATAATTCTTTGAAAACAAGTTCATAGCTTAACTTTTTTGGTGTCTAAAGGACAAATTGAAATCCTCCTTTATTGTTTGACTTGGAGGTTGACCTGCTTGAACTGCTGGCAACGAACGATCACTGTGACGTTGCTCTTGGATGGCTGGCTCTCTGTTCTTTGGTCAAAACAGGTCACAGTCTGCTTTCATGCCCAGTTGATGTTGATATGCAGTTGATGTCACAGTCTGCAATGATTTTTCTTCTTTCCCAGTTTCACTGGTCGCTAAGGGGCTCGGCTGCCAAGTGATGTGCCCTGTGCAGAGTCTACATCGGCGACCTGGATGGGCGGCCTTCAAGGTGATCAGGTATTTGGGTGGTGGTGGGCCGAACCTTGGATCAATTTAATTGCAATTGATTGCCACTTTCCACAGTCACTTGCCAAGTGTTGCTTATGTCATGTCATGTTTGTGTTTTCAACTGAAGCATTTCTTTGCCACTGTCTCAGGGCTGTTGGGGAGATGTGCGCTGAGATGGAGCATGTTGGCAGCTCCGACTGCTGGGTTTCCAGCATTACCAGTGGGCACGAGATCTGGGCAAAGGGAGCTTGTATACCCAAAGCCGGGGCTACTTGGTTCAAGCTGCAGTTGTAAGATTTGTTCTGTGCTGCTTCAACAAGTGATAGTTGCTTTGAAGATTTTTTTGTGCCAAGGGATGCAATGCTCGAGAATGTGATCGATGAGTTGCAACAGTTGGAGAAGGCCTTGAGCGAACCAGTGCAGAAGAAGGCGGGTTAGGCTTTTTTATCTAAGGTGGATTTCATTAACCAAATTGCCCGGTGCCCAGTGAAACATGACAATAAATTTGACAATGCACAGGCGCAGCAAGAGGATGACTCAGTTGGTGCAAGTGATGCTGCTGCATCAGAACCAGCTGCACCAGTGGCAGAACCAAAGCCTTCTTCCACCTTGCCCTCAAAGGCCAACAAAATCCCACCCAGCCCGACAACACCTGCAGCAGCGGAGAGTTTCAAACAACCCCCACCAGCACTTGTGGCCCAGTTGAAAAGACAACAGGATGCAGCATCAGCCCGCCACCCAAGGCAATGCCAACAGCCAGTGCACCAGCAGCAGCCAGTGTACCACCTCTGCCTCCACCACCCAAGGAGGCCAGCGCACCAGCAGCCAGCGCCAGTGCACCAGCTCAGCCAGTGCCCAGTGCAGCACCGGCTCAACCACCAGTGCCAGTGCCAGATACCACCCCATGAGACCCAGTGATGTACCTCACATTGCCTTAATGTTCTGTTTGTCATGCTTTTTTGGATGACTTGGCAGACAGCAAACATTGCTATCTTTCTGTGGTGTGAATCAGCATTGCTATCTTTCTTGTGGCTATCATTTTGAAATTGCAAGCAGTTCTGTCTGGCTCAGGGCGGAAATCCTTGAGGATTGCGAGATGGCTGAATATGTGGTCACAGCCTTCTTTGAACTGGGCAACCTTGATGGTGGTAGAGTGCGTCAAGTGAAGGTCCTGTCCTTCAGCTGCAATTTTTACACTGACACAAAAAAGCATTGAGTTAGTTCACTTATTTACATCCTTGTTTGGTTTCCATTATTTCATTTTTTCTCATTAGCCATTGATTGCTTGAGGAGCCGCTTGCTCTTCAAGAAGGACAAGGCGATCGACAATTGGTTGGTGAGGGCTGTCCGACCCTTGCCTGCATAATTAGTGAATTACAGTAAAGTCAAGAGCCTTGCTTGCCCAGGGACACTTGAACTGATGATGTGCTATCCTACTGAAGTTTGCCAGCATGGCTGTGTCTCGCATGGACTTAATTGAGTATGCAAACATTGGATTCTTATTCTTGTTTATCCAGCACTGCCTCCATCATTGTTGAATAATTTTGAAAATTTGACGATCTGAAACACGTGAGCTGCGGCTGCCACCAGGCGCGAACTGCCCTTCATCGTCGGCTGCAGCCGCTTTACACGAAAAAACACAAGGTTTCGCACTTAGGCTTCCTCCCCGAAACAAACCCCATGCATGCATTCCTGCAGCCATTGCACGCGTCTTACAACCAAAGATTCCAAAACACCATGTATAACTGCAATGTGCAGGAACACGCGAAACACATCGAAGCAGCCGATACCCCGAGCTGTGGCCGAACCCAGCCCGCACCGGCCTCACACACGAGCTGCCCTTCATCACTGGTGAAAGCCACTTTACACAAAAAACACAGGGTTTCGCGCTCTGGCTTCCTCCCCAACACAAGTCCCATGCAAGATTCCTGCAGCCACTACAATGCGTTTTGCACCACTTCTATACCGCTTCTCTAAGTCACCATGTCCCTAAGTCACCACTTCTCTCAGGCACCACTTTCCAAAGTCACCACTTCCCTTAAGTCACCACTTCCCTAAGTCACCGCTTCCCTAAGTCACCATTTCCCAAAGTCATCAGGGTGGGATGTCTAGTGATGTGAGATATTGTTGCGTGATATATTGCAGTGTAATGTCTTGTTGTGCGATGTAGTATTGTCAAGTGATGTATTGTTTTGAATGTGTTTTTATGTGCTGTATTGTTGTGTGATATATTGTTAGTTTAGGTAACACATTGTTGCGTGATGTATTTGTATGTGATGTATGGTTATGTGATGTATTGCTGTGTGATGTATTGTTATGTGAGGTATTGGTACTGCATGATACTTCATCCGTAACTCGGAAGATTGCTTCCCAACTTCCTTTGGTGATTTTTTGTCGAATGAATGGTGCGCGTGGTGGGTATATTTCAATATCATGGTCCGTTGCTTAGTTGTTGCTTTTAGATCTAATGTCATTGTAAATCTGTTTGTGATTAATTCTACAAGTTTGATACGGTTTTTACCTTTGAACTACACTTTGTGGTGATATTCCGTTAACTTTTGTGCCTCCTTCACCCTTTTATTTCTGTGCTAGTGTAGTTTGAGAAACTGTATTGGTTGAATCCTTCGCTTCTTGGGCCGCCAGCTCTTGGCCTTTTGGTTAGGCCCCACTACCAGAGAGTGTTGCGTTGTTGTTGTTGTTGCTGCTGTTGTTTTTGTTGTTGTTTTTTGTTGTTGTCGTCGTCGTCGTTGTTGCACTCCTGTTGAATATACACTGTTTATCATCATGGTCGGCAGAGGGCACGGGCCGTGGCAGTGAGTCCCGCATACTGAAATATCGCATTGCTTCGTTTAGGAAAGCAAGGACTGAAATGATTTAATTGAAAGCAATGACACAACCAGACCAATACCGCAATTTTGTTTTCCTGCAATTATGGAGGAACTTGAAGGGTTAGAGGCTTAGCCAAAAGAATAAACCCCTCACTACTCCAGCCCAGTTCCCATGGCATCTAAAGCATCTATAATATGACAAGGGGCAGGGGCGAAAAACATCAATTCCTTCCCAACCCCCTTCTCTAGATGCCTTGGGGGATGAGAGGCTGGGCAAACAGTTGGTGAGGTTTGGTGCCTAGATTTTAGAACATTCAACGGTCAACATGAGTAACCAGCGCACTCAACCAAGTAGATTCTAGAATGTGGATGTCCTAAATGGGTAGTTCCCCACATTGACGTGTGGGGTTTTTGTTTTTAGTTCTGTATCCGCGCCTCTTCTTCCTCCTCCCGTCCTCCTCCTCCTCCTCACTCACTCACTCACTCACCCACCCACCCACCCACGCACTCACTCACTCACTCACCCACCCACCCACCCACCCACTCACTCACCCACCCACCCACCTGACCACTCACTCACTCACTCACTCACTCACTCACTCACTCACTCACTCACTCACTCACTCACTCACCCCCTCCCGCCCGCCCGCACGCACGCACGCACTCACTCAATCACTCACTCACATTTTGATTCACTCACCTGTGCATGCATACATACATACATACATACATACATACATACATACATACATACATACATACATACATACATACATACATACATACATACATACATACATACATACATACATACATACATACATACATACATACATACATACATACATACATACATACATACATACATACATACATACATACATACATACATACATACATACATACATACATACACACACTTGAGAAGTCATGTTTGACATTTCGTCTTTAGTGTCTGTTGTCCATTTGTAATGGCAGCAAAGGCATCGCTTAGTCTGTGAGCTAAGCTTACCGGGTTAAAAAATTGATGTTTGGGTTGGCACCCAAGCTGCGCACGACGGTGCCCATGGCGTGCCTGCAGGTACGTTTACACAACCAATGGTGAGTGTCTTCGTTGGCGCAAGACGCACCAAAGGTTCTTGCGCCCCCTGCAAAATAAAAATAAAAACGTGAAAACTTGTCATTTTCCTTCTTTCTAGACTCACCTGCAAGCTGAACTTGCTTCTCCATTTCGCTGACTTCGCCATTCAAAGACTCAAGGTCCTTTTGGCTTTCAGCCACCCCTGCGGATAAAAACGTGAAAACCTTAGAGACAGGCGTGGACACACACACAAAAACTCACCCACCATCACCCCTCCATCACTCTTATACTTCCTCTTCCCTTCGTCCTTTTCTATGCTCAGTCTAAGTCTAGAGAAGTTGGTAACATGTGGGGTTATCCGGTCCTATAATTTTTGATAAAGCTGTCCATCATCCCTTTATGCTGAATATCCCCAAGTTAAAACCCGAGGCTGCGCAAAAACCGGTGTGGATCCACATAGCGTCGCTTTCTGTTCCATCCATAGAGACATTGTGGCCTGAAATGCCTTTTGCAGGAAGGCTTTTCCGCACTGCAGAACCAAAGTATATTTGCATGATTGCATGAGTTCTGGGCGTAATATTGGGTGAAGCAAGCGCGAACAAATATCGGGGGGAGCCCCATGCCGGAGAGCTGCCACACACGGCGCCCTGACCTGTCCTCGGAAAGCTCAGGTGGCCGGACTTCATCCTCTGATGGGTCTTCAAAATCCAATTCCTGAAGATCTGGATTGCGACATTGCCCATGCTCAGTCCGAAGGCAGCAGGTTCAAAACATGTTGGAACAGAAGCTAAACCTGTTGCGGAGACAAAGCCGCGCCAAATGACTGAATGAACAGCCGCGCTGTCCCTAGAGCGGAACTAGCTCACAATAGCCACCCAGAACACTTTGCCAAGGAGCATAGGAGCCATCGCTGATCTCTAAATTTTCGCCATCGCTTTCCACGCTTCCATCCTTCAAACGGTGGGCGGTCTCTTACCAGTCTTGGTTCCCGTGAATATATCCGCAAAGGAAAGTCAAGGGCAGCAATGCTTCAATAGATTTCGCACAAGCAATGACAGTTCAAGGGCAGCCGCGCTCTTGCTTTGAGCCACAGCCTGCCTCAAAGTCATCCGGGTACTCCTCCTGTCTGGGCACAGAGGGGAAAGGCTTCGATGTCCCACATTGATGGCGTTTTTTTGGGTTGCGCTAGTTAATGTCTTGCCCCATGTTCCCTTGTGGCATATAATTCTTTGACCGCTTGCAGGTTTGGCGACCGACAGGCATCTCTGACCCGGCGCGTTACCAAAGACAATACCTGGGCCAGGTTAAGAACAAAATTATAAAAACTGGGGCAATTACTTTTTGCTTTCCAACGTCTTGGCAAATTCACGCGGTCGGAAACTTGGGGCAAGGGATTGCAGTCCCACGGGCGGTTATGGCAATGGTCCTCGCTGCGCGTTGTGTGGCGCAGCCGGTGCACAAAGCCGCTCGCGTGCTCCATCTGAAAGGGTGGCAGGATGGACGATGTGCAGCATGCTCAATCGCAGGGCTTGGTGCATCTCAATGTTCCTGGCCTGTGCTGGCAGGGGCCCCGTGAGCAACTGCACGGCGCCTACAAGTGGCGGCGACGTCAAAGCGCTGCGCAGGGTACTCCGCTGGGTTGGGTCCTGTCAGGCAAAGGCATTGCATGTTAAGCGAGCAAATCAAAACTGGTTCAAAGACTGAAGTATCACTGGCCTGAGGAGGTAAGCCTGCTGGTCTGCTGCGGCGACAAGCTAGAATCCTAAAATGCAACAAGCGTTGGTCCTTAACCAGCAGGCCTTCAACCAGCCCCTGCAGACTTGCAGATGGAAGAGGCTCTGGGGTACAGCTGACAATGCGAAAGGCGACCTTGCAGTGGAGCAAACACGCCCAACCACGAAAAAACATGAAAAACAACTTCCTCCAAGAGCCCAATCAAAAATGCATCGAACTTGGCAAGCATGTCTGTCCCATCTAGCTCTTCAACTTGATCTGGCGCCGGTTTGCGTAGGGCGTGCCTGGCAGATATTGCTTCCGCGAAAAGGTGGTGCCAGCATGGCGGCTTCATAGATGGTCACGCCAAAACTCCACACATCCGAGGCATACGAATACCTTGGCAGGAGAACTGCCGCGTCTCTCCAAAATATAAGCCAAGAAGGGTCAACCAAATTCGCGTCGCCAGGACAAAGTGGGTTTTGTATCGCTAGACAAGGACAATTCATAACCCTATAGCCAAGCGACGGCTCTTGGTTCACAATCTCTGGACTTAGATTGAGAGGCGAGCCGCAGCAAGTCTTCGCAAATTTTTGCCTTGCAACAAACCCGCAAAGTTGCGGCAGGAACCCATGTGGACGCGCTTCTAGCGTCCCTTTCCAACCCCAAAAATTCCAACGCGCTGCTTTGCCTTTCGGCGCCGACGCCAACCATTTGAGAAAGACACCGCGGACGCTTTCTGCCGGTTTGGGTTCTAAATCTTGATTTTGGACCGGCGCTAAGCAAGCACATTGCAGCTGATTTCAAGCAATTTTGAAAATGCTAATGACGAGCTACCTTCGTGGCCTTTGGCTCTGCATTGAAAAATGCGTTTTCCATTTCACGTAAGAACTTTTCGTATTTGGTTCTCATCAGCGTCCAAAAGAATCCAAGGCATGGCGTCAAGCTTTCAGCGCTCGGGTACAGAATCAAAAGAACGCACCGCAAATTCAAAAACCACTGATTGGTAACTTCACTTAGCCATGGATGGGCATCATCTGCATTGCATTCTGGGCGATGAGCCGGCTACGACACAGCTGAGGAACTCATCTAATGCGCAGGAAATGCCAAAATCTCCAAGCAGTAAATCTCCTCCTAAGGGGCCGGATTGCAAAACAAAACGTCAAAGAGAGAAAGAAAAGGCTCTGGCATCAAAAAGCCGAACGTGAAGACTTCGAACCATCGCTGACAAAAACATCACGGCAAACCCTTTTCATGTATATACAAAATCCATGATCCTGCAAAGTCTTGGCATGCTGCAGCCAAAAGGTTCCAACCAACATGTGAGCGCCAATGGCACATCGCGCGCGAAACTGTGACAGATCCGTTTGACCGTCTCCTGTCGATCTGAAGAAGCAGTTCTCAGGCTTCACATCCCGATGAAGCACCCCGTGGAGATGGCAATGCTGCAAAGCCAAGCCAATCTGCGCCGCCCACCTCGCCAGCTCATCAACGCAACGTTTTGGGAGGACTAAGAAAATACAAAGGAACGCGTTTCAAGATGTATAGCGCAAAACGCGCGCTCTTGAGTACTCAGCCGCTGGCAGACAGACAAGGGCACGCGTGAAGTAAATGTCTGGAAGCGTTGTGGAAAAAAGCGCGTGCGTCCACACTGGCCAAAAAAACAGATCAGAAGCGGTCGACGTGGCATTGTGCTGTTATCATTGCAGATGTTATTGCGGGGTCTGCAAAGACGCAAGAGGAAACCACTTTCAATAATACAATTAATAAACTGTAAGGGAGGAAGGGCTTTGGCAATGGTGCATGTGTGGATTTGGTAAGGCGCCGACTGCAACTTTGGGCAGCTGGGGGCCATAGAGCCGTATATGCGATTTGATGCATGGAACACTGGACATTCACCCCAAGCGAGCATGGGCCTAAATTGGATCCGCAAGGTGACTGAGGCGCCCTCGCACTGCACCCTACTAGAGCAAAACATCTTGGCTAGAGGCGCGATTTCCCACATCAAACCAAAACAATCTATCTATCTATCTATATATATATATATATATATATATATTCGAAGGAAGTTTAGAAGTCAAACTTCCGACAATATGGACAGTGACAGATGAAAAGCAGAGCAGGGAAGAGGCAGAGAGAAGAGAAAGATAAGAAGAAAGAAGAGTAGAAGAGAAAGAGTAAGAAGAAAGAAGATGCAGATGCGAGAAAAGGTAGGAAAGTCTCGAAACACTGTGTTTTTCCAATGATTTGGGGCTCCGGAGGGTCGAAAAGTAGGCTCGCTAAAGCGGCAGGTGCGGAGCCAGCTGGCCAGATGAGAGATGAAAAATTGCACGCCGTTGTGGCGCGAAGCACATTTGCAAGTCAAAATGTACAAAACACCTGGGTCTCGGAGCACTTTTGGAAGTTGCGATGTCGAAAAAGTGCACGCCGTTGTGGCGCGAAGCACATTTGCAAGTGAAAATGTACAAAGCACACCATTGTCGGACCACTTTTGGAAGTTGCGATGTCGAAAAAGTGCACGCCGTTGTGGCGCGAAGCACATTTGCAAGTGAAAATGTACAAAGCACACCATTGTCGGACCACTTTTGGAAGTTGCGATGTCGAAAAAGTGCACGCCGTTGTGGCGCGAAGCACATTTGCAAGTGAAAATGTACAAAACACACCATTATCGGACCACTTTTGGAAGTTGCGATGTCGAAAACGTGCACGCCGTTGTGGCGCGAAGCACATTTCGAAGTGAAAATGTACAAAACAGACCACTGTCGGACCACTTTTGGAAGTTGCGATGTCGAAAAAGTGCACGCCGTTGTGGCGCGAAGCACATTTCCAAGTCAAAATGTTAAAAACACTAGGGGTTCGGACCACTTTTGGAAGTTGCGATGTCGAAAAAGTGCACGCCGTTGTGGCGCGAAGCACATTTCGAAGTGAAAATGTACAAAGCACACCATTGTCGGACCACTTTTGGAAGTTAAGATGTCGAAAAAGTGCACGCCGTTGCGGCGCGAAGCACATTTCCAAGTCAAAATATTAAAAGCACCAAGGGTTCTGACCACTTTTGGAGGCTCAGATGTCGTTTCGCGTGGCAGGCGCAAGAAATTGTGCAGCTTGTCAAAAGTGAGGGTTTTGTGGCATTTCGAAAAACGATGGCAAGCATGGGACATCTGAAGATGCTCTGCAAAGATGCATTTTCCATGGCAGGCGCAGTACAAAAGACATGTTCATGAGAGAGGTTGGGAGGTCAGGGCGCTGATTTCTGAGAGGGGTTGCACTTTGGAATATCAGAAGTGTAGGTTTGCTAAGATGATTTTGCGTGACAGGTGCAGCACTTCGTATGACCTGGCATCAATTTTTCGTGGCAGGCGCAGTACCTTAGATAGGTGGAGTAGAAAAATCGCAAAACGCATTGGCACGAGGGTGTCAGCGCTGCACTGATCTTTCCATTTTTGAAGGAAGTCTCGCAGAAGTCTTTCGTTCTTGATGTCGTCAACTTCGAAAATTGAGGAAGTCTCGCAGAAGTCTTTCGTTTTTGATGTCGTCAACTTCGAAAATTGAGGAAGTCTCGCAGAAGTTTTTCGTTTTTGATGTTGTCAGCTTAAGTCTCGCAGAATTGTTTCGTTTTTGAAGCTGTCAAGTAAAAATATGGAGGAAGTCTCGCAGAATAGCTTCGTTTTCAAGCTTGCAGATTGCAGATAGATAGATAAATAGATAGACAACTACATCTACCAGTACAACTACCACTACACTACACTACCACTACTGCTAAAAATACAAACATAGTACGCAACATGACGCAACACTAATTACACTACTATACATTATTTACATTTAATTACACCGCGCTACACTAATTATTGATGAACTTGCTGCTTGTTGTGATGGCCGTTGACCAACCCAGGCTCTACAACAATAGAATCATAGGTGCCAGATGAATCATGTCTTCTTGGTTTCTGTTGAATGTAGGAATCAGCCAGCGCCACACGAGCAATCTGCACTTCCATTTGCCATAGAAAGCACTCTCGCAAGTTCGATGGCCGAAGGCCTCCCGAACAATGGAATTGGCGTTGTCCCAAGCTGTGCCGTGATGTGCCGTGTAAGAGGATCTTTTCATTAACATCAAGAGCCAAGAGCTCGCCACAGTCGCAGGTCTGTTGAGTGTGGGCACCGGCTTCACTTCTGCCATCTACTTTTTATTATTGTTTTATTCCCACATAAATAAATAATCGAAGGAAGTTTGGAAGTCAAATTTCACCAAATATGGCAGAGGCAGAGAGAAGAGAAAGATAGAAAGGCGATCGTCGTGCCTGTTGCCTGATCGTCGTGCCTGTTGGAAGTGCGTGTCTTTTCTGACCGCATCTTCTGCTCGCCATGTCGAATAAGCAATTGCCTGCAACCGTCGAGCCAACGAAATGGCGTGCCGCATCTTGGACCGCCGAAGAGTGCGCGCGGTATGCGCACACCCCTGAGTCGACGCAGAAGTGCCGTGATAGAACTTGTCGGCCGCCAGAGGAAGCGAGAAGGCTTCTGCAGGACCTGGCAGAAAGTCCTGCCAGTGGCTCGCTCTTCGAAGGCATCTCGCTGTTGCTGATGCCGTTACCATCTTGAAAATCTCGCACGACCACAGTGAGTGGCCGCAGGTGAAGCGGACGGAAGATGAATTGCTGCGCCGTGAGTATTTGAGGCTTTTTGATGAGCGTTGCCATTTCCAGCCTGATTGGATTCACACTGAAATGCGACAGCGGCAGGCTGCCCGGGCGGATGCTGCCCGGCGGCACGCTGACCCAGCTGATGCCTCGCAGATGCCGCATGTGCCTGCGTGGCAGAGATGGCAATGACCTCGCGTGTGGCTTTTCTGCCCGCGTCGCTGCCATCGGGTAGAACGGGACACATGCAGTGATGCGCACCGCGCGAGTGCTGACTGCACGCATCGCTTCTGACCGCATCGGCCGGGACACATGCAGTGAAACGTGGGACACATGCAGTGGAGCGGGCAGCGGCCGTGCAGTTTCCGATCGCCTAGATTTACTACGAGCCGTCCCAGTGAAGCAAAGCTATCGTGTTCGCCTTTCCTGACGGCACGATGGGGCCTCAGCAGGGGCGTTCGCCTGTGCTCGTGTGTGTTTTTTCTGACGGGACGATGTCACATTCTAGGCAGCAACGCCTCGAAATACTTTGCCCCGAATCGGAAGGAAAAAAGGGCTGCGCAGGGACCATGGGCGAGACACGGTGGCGGGAAGTGGTCGAATGATGGGGTGGAGAGAAAGATAAATCGAGCAATAGGTAGATAAAAAGAGCGATAGGCAGGTAGATAGATAAATAGATAGATACGTAGTTAGATAAAGAGATGACATAGATAAGATCGACAGGTAGACAGCTAGAGAGATAGAAAAGTGAAAGAGAGAGAGAGAGAGCGAGCGAGAGAGATAGATAGATAGATCGCCGGAAAGAAAGATAGATAGATAGGTAGATAGATAGATAGATAGATGGAAAGATAGACAGACAGACAAATAGATAGAGAGACAGCTAAAAAAAGATAGATAGATAGATAGATAGATAGATAGATAGATAGATAGATAGATAGATAGATAAGGAGATAGATAGACAAATAGCTAGAAAACTAGACAGCTAGATAGATAGGTAGATAGTAGATAGATAGATAGATAGATAGGGAGATAGATAGACCGGGGCAGACAGTAGGTAGGTAGATAATCCGAGAAATATAGAGAAACAGAGAGAAAAAGAGAGAAAGAGAGAGAAAGAGAGGAGACCTCAAGCAGCTTTCAGTCCATCAGTGGCTTCGCTCTGCCATCTGTGATTCACAACAACCAACCTTTCCTATAGGTTTCCTATTTTTGAAACTTCCGCCACCGCCTTGTGCGGTACTACTGGAATATCTACGTGGCTGTGCTACCAACGTCTGAAAAGAGCTTCGCAAACACATCATCACCCTGTTGAGGGGGAGGGGGGGTCTAAATGAAATATTTCATTTGTGGATACCCCCCCACCTATACATATACAATCAAAATCACCCCCTCCAAAGACAAGAGGCTAAAATTTATGGATATCGTGTTATGTATGCGTATATCATCCGAATATACATATATAAATATGATATTATATGATAATATATGATAATATATAATAGTATTTGATAATATATGATAATATATGATAATATATGATAATATACGTATACCCGGATCCCCCGCAGACCAGAAATTTGGTCTGGAGTGATTCAGTCTACTAATCAGACTGATTCCAGAAATCTCGCCTGAGGTGAATTTTTTCGGCTGAAGTGGCTTTGCTCAATTTTCACCAAAACATTCAACAACGTATATTAGTGATAAGAAATAAGACATGAGAACTTCAGGTTTTTGTCCAGAGGGGGGGCATCCCTTGAAATTTCATTTATTGTGTTTCATTTTTTTCCATTGATAAGAGATTTCAATCAGATTTAGCGGGCCGCCCAAAGCCATTTTGGATCATGAGCCGGCCGCGTCAGTGCTGTAGCTGAAGCCTCCCCCTGCCCTGTTGCAGCTCCACCTCGCAACGCCAAGGTCTTCCTGAGGCGAGATCATCCCCTGCACATGCGCAGGATTGGATGCCATTGGATGAAGTGGATGAAAAGATGGATGGAAAAATGAATAAAACTCCTTATCACCATCTTGCTGATACACAAAATGAAATGCATCACCCAAGAGCAGTGGCAACATAGGGGGTATTTAAGTTGCATGACACATCTGCGAAATGTCTGGATTTGATATGATATTTATTTTATTTATAAAGGCTTTATCTGGATTGTTAAGGGGATTTGATATGGGATTCTAGGGATTTAGTGAGTCATTAAATCTCTATTGTCAAACCCAGCCCATTTCCATATGGAGGTTTCCTAAAATACAGTACCCCCAAATCATCCCATTTATAGATGGATTTCCCATGACATAAACCATCCAGCTATGGGGGTACCCATGACTTAGGAAACCTCCCATATATGTTTTGGTTTTGATCCATCCAGAAGGGGTTAACCAATGACGGATTTTGCATCACCTTTGGCATTCACCGGCGTCCACTTGAGCTCACTTTTTCATGGCTAGTTGGCCCCTTGGTAGCCTCTGGGATTGAATGACTCATCTATGGCTCTGCCAGCTGTCGTGGTGCTTCAGTTCATCCATGTCCGTTGTTTCATCAAAAAAACACAAATTCCCTGGGTCTTGCCGAAAGCTCCACTCCAAAATTATCCAAACATCTCCATCAGTTGGAAGCCTTTTGGCAAATTTCGTTGGAACAACTGGGGCTGTCTGAAAATTGAAGGGAACGTCCCCAACTTTGATGGGTTGAGCATCAGTTTCCCTATGGGTTGAGTGGCCAAACATTGGGGCATTTTCCCCAAGTCATTTCATCCCTGGCGCGTCAGGCAGTAGTGCCGAAGCCGTTGAATTAGCCCCTGTGGAAGAGAATTGACATCTCCGATGTGGGCCCTCCAGAGGAGGCTGATGGTTGGGATATGTTGGGATTTTCTCATGTCATGGGGTTATAAAAACATACTGAAGGAATCGGAAATATATTGAAAGACAAAGTATGCATAGACCGTCTCAAAGCTGTTGTTCCTTTTTGTGTCGTATCATGTACACATCAATTCAGCTTTTGCCAGCGGAATGCCGCAGCTCACACTCCGCCAAGTCGCAGGCATCCTCGAGTTCAAAGAGACTGGAGTACAAATATGTCATTCGGCGCCCTCCTGGTGTCAAGCCTCCCACCCGCACTGGTTGGACTGTGTCAGGGACAAGCGCAGAAATTAGGGCGAATCTTTCGGCATCCAGTTTGGGGCCCCTTTTTGAAGTTTCTCAGGGCCATTTGGGGCAGGTGAAATCCAAAACACGCATGGTTTGTGCTGTTTTCCAGGTTTCAAGCTGTGTACATTTCCGCGGTAGATTCTTATCACGGCCAAGCCGCAGGAGGAGGGGCCTGAGATTCTGGAGCATAGCCAGGCCGCAGCAGCACCAGAAGGGCAGCCCCGCGGCTGGTGCATTGCAGTGGTTGGAAACCTCTGTGAGTTTTGTGAAAGTCTGGGTAAACCACGGGAAAACTAGAACATCCCATGGTTATTCCATGGTTTGGAGAGCAACTTCCTCACTAAAATTGCGAATGGAGAGTAAATCCACGAGTGTTTTTTTACAAAGAAACACCATGCAGAAACCATAATTCAGTAGTCTTTGGATAGGGGATTGGAAATGTATTAGGAACAGTGACTACTAGACTGAATCTCGAGATAACTTCAAGTTCAATTTTTATATTCTTTGATATTCTTTTATAATTTTGATTTCGGTTCCGGATTCGGGCGCCACATTCGGGCCCCGGATTCGAGCCCCTGATTCGGGCCCCGGATCCGGGTTTCGGATTCGGGCCCCGCATTCGGGTTCCGGATTCGGGTTCCGGTCCCGGGTTCGGGTCCCGGATTCAAGCCCCGGTGTGTGAGGAAGGTGGTTCATTTACTGAATGAATCAGTAGGGAAGTTTGGTAGGCAGATGTAGGCAGGTAGGTAGGACCTAGGGGCGCAAGGAATGGCAGGAGATGGTATCAATGCATCAATTGGTATTGCAATGTATTGCAAACATGTAGCCGTGGGAAAATGAAGATGTCTTTCATTAACGTTTGATCCTTTCCTTTCTCTTCGATGGGGGTCCGCAGCATGATATTATATTTGCGGCAAACTCGAGTAGGTGATTCTATCATCGGTTCTTAACCTATTTTCCTCTGCCACAGTCAAATTGAATATGCCGTGGCCATGGGGATTTAGTAAATTTAGTAAATGCAATGCTTACGTTCACTACGTAATTGAACACATAGGAACAGATGCAAACAAACCATATTTCCCGAGTCTTTGTTAAATATGTTAACGCGGGATTTATTGTGTGGCCACAGGGATTTAGTAGGTGCCAAGCTCAGAAGCGTTATTTTGTCAGCAGTTGAAAGCAAGGAACGCATGGAAGGAAACACTGTTTTCCAAGCGCGCAGCATCACCGGAACCTTACTTTACGCCGCACCAGAGGCAGAAGAGTGTGCTGTACCACTGTACCAGACATTGGCCAATCATTTTGAGGTCGAATCTATCCTAATCAATAGCTTCGTTTTCACGCTTGCAGGTAAATAGATAGATGGATAGATAGACAACTACAACTACAACTACAACTGCCACTACACTACAACTACAACTACCACTACAACTACCACTACAACTACATCACACTACACTACGCTAACTGCAGCACACCACATTACAGCTACAACATAGTGACCCCCTCGGCCACTGAAATTTTAGGGGAGGGTATGTGAAAGAATTTCTGAAATATATTTCGCTTGCACGTCTGGAGCAGTTTGGCTCACAAATGCATGTATGGCATCGCAGGTATGATGAAATCCGTGCTGTGAAACAGATTTGGGCATATCGGCATATCATTCCAATATTGGGGCACCAACAAAAGTCATTTTCAACAGAGCAAATGATTGAAAATCATCATATAATATAAAACATATAATATAAACCATCCATTTGGGGGGTCCGAATTTTGAGACATAGACATCCGGCTTATGACTCTCGGATGCCGAATCCACTGCTGTCGAGTGCGACAAGAGATTTCAAGCCCAGCTCCATGAGTCTTGGCGAAGGTGCCACGCGTCCTGTAGCTCCACGTTCTACCATCCAGAACTTGGGGGTTGATAATGCCTTATTCAGGGCCATTTAACACCAGGTTTAACTTCATCCGAGTTCGTGTTTGTTCATTTATGTTCATCATTGTTCATCGATTGCCGCTTCCTTTTCCAATTGCACGGCTTGGAGGGTTGTGGGAACAGGAACCAGATTTGGCAAGATTTGGCAATTCTTGTAATTT